CTCCGCCTTATCCCTTTTTCCGATCAATTTCGCGATTTCCCTCATCTCCTCCTCCAACCTCCCGTCCCACCCGTTCTTCTCCTTCTCCGGCAAACCACCCCATTTTCCCCTCTTTTTCTCCTCCTCCTTTTCCGGCGGCCACCACACCGCGGGCTCGACCCGACCCGGAAATTTCTCCAGCATGGCCCCGCCTAGCAATGGCAGCGGGTAAGCCCGGTCGAGCGCCATCACCTTCTCCGTCATCTCCGCCACATTTTCCGGCGAAGGATTTCCCATCGAGACAACGGTTCGGATCCGATTCCCGAGCTGCTCGAATAATCGGGCCGCGTTCCTCTGCTCCTCCGCCAGCTGGGACGGCTGGATTTTGTTCACGATTGAAAGCATCCCGGCTGCTGCCACGTACATGGCGGCGGCCGCCGCCGCTCCACCGCCGCCGGTGGCGGCTCCGGCGGTGATGAGGGCGGCGGAGAGTGTGAGGGAGTTGATGGAGGTGAGCATGAGGGTGTTCCAGTTGTTACGCTGGTCCTCCACGTTCCTGTGCATCTCGACTCGATCTGCTATGGCCTCGATTATAGCGTAGAGTTTGGCCACGATTGTCGGGTCGGGTTTTTTGCCGGTCTCGATTTTCGTGGTGACTGTTTTGTTGGTGGTGGTGGTGGTGAAAGGACTGGTTGGCCGCCTTTCGGTGGTCAGATGTTCGGAAAGGGGTATTTTGGGTACTGTATTTAATTTCAGGATGTTGGTTTTCTGCTCTGAATTTGTGGAGTAAGAGGAACGAATCGGGGATAGAAGTCTTGAGAGGGGTATTTTGGGTATTGTATTCAATTTTGAGATGTTAGTTTTTTGCTTCGAATTTGTCGAGTAAGAGGAACGAATCGGTGTCGGAAGTCCTGAATGGAATATTTTGGGTATTGTATTCGATTTTGGGATGTTGGTTTTCTGTTTCGAATCTGTCGAGTAAGAGGAACGAATCGAAGGGTTTAAGAGTAATGCCGATGATTTTAAGGCGGCCATTTTTTTTTTCAAAAATTACTGTGTGTGTGTGTGTGTTTGTCTTTAGCTTTTTCTTGTGGGGATTGTGAGATTTTTTTGCTCTTTGATATGAAGGCTAAGGGTAAAATTTGAAAGAGATTGCATGGGGAAGTGTGGATATATATAGAATAATGTGGGTATGGTGTTGACTGTGGAGAATGAGTTGAAAATCAAATGTTATGTGATCTTTTATTCAAATATGTTCTAAGGTACAACTGTTTGAATGAGTTTATATGTAGGACCTTTTCTTGCCTTTTGTATTGGGTTGAATTTCAACAACACTTGAGCAAGTACTGTATTTTGAAAATGGCAAAATCTGATATGTTAACCAAAAATTATGTGCTAATATGGATATAGCACATAATATAGCTCGGGTAAATTGGCTACAGTTAGCTCGGGTGGTGATCCCTAATGTCGCCCGAGTAAGGGCCAGTTCAGATGAGCGTGTCTTAAGTAGCTCGAACAATATAGTGGTATGATGATAGCTCGAACAATATAGTATGAAAGTAGCTCGGACAACGCAATATAAAAGTAGCTCGGATGGTGTAACAGCTAGAACGGGTGATAGTCAGGCAAGAGTGGTATCAACATCTCAACTTAGGTTGGATGGTGTAACAATTAGGGTACTTTTATCCTTGACCCAACTCAATGGGTCAAGGAAAAACGACCTTGGGTCGCGATAGGTTTTTTTACTGAAAATGGGACATTTATCTTATTTTTATTGAACAATTGTATTTTTTTAGTTTAAAAAAAAGTACTAAAATTTATATTTTTTTCATTCTCTAAAAATAGAGACCACACTTGATGGGTTTCTAAACACAATTATATTTTAAAATAAAATAAATATTTAGATTGAGTTGGGTTGGAGATAAAGTAAATTGGATTGTAAGATTGTGTTGTGTAGCTTGGAGTGGAGAGAAAAAAAAAATTAATTATTAGGTTGAGTTGGATTGTGTTGGGGATAAATATGATGTTAGGACAAAATGGGCAGAGCGACTCAATAGGCCGAGGGGCTTATGTGATGAAGAGCGACCTATGGAGATTTGGTCCAGAGGGGGCCTATTGATAAGGGACAATTGTAGGGCTATATGGAAAAGGTCTAAATGATCATACGGATAGAAATGGTTCTCGGGCAAACCTAGGGGTAGCCAAATAACCACCGGGCATCTTGGGCACTCGAGCAGGCCTTCGGGCAGCCAAGTAGGGCAAAGCTTGTTCAAGAAGCCAATGGTTCAATATAAATAGGTGAGAGGTATGAAAGGTAAAATGTTAATCAATCTAGACACTCTAGCTAAGCTTTATATTACAGCTACATACAACTTTTCATAACCTTTCACTGACTTGATCGTCGAGGGTTTTATGCCATGAACACCTCCTGACGTGCTTTGTAGGTCTTCGAAGAGCAGATCAGTGTGAGGACGAAGGAGAGCTATTTTGAAGTGCGACAACACATTAATATGTTAAGGCCACACAAATTATTTTGAAAATGACGGTTCTATCCATATTATTTGTTTTTCATGTTAATTTTCACAAAAAAGCATATTTTGTTATTTGTTTTTTCATGTTAATTTTCACAAAAAAACATATTCGTTATAAATTAAATAACATCATAAGATAAAAGTGTAATAAAGTATAATAAAATAACATTTAATAGTATAAGTATACATTCTTTTCGTAAAATGTAACAAGTCGACCTCTCTAATGGTTAGACCACCTCACACAACAATTTGTGTTTTTCTTAACCTAACTTAATAGCACCTATAAATTAAATTTTCAATCTGTCCCACAATCTTGTTCAATTATATTTTTGTTCGATTTTTTTTAAACGTACATAATTTTAAAATGAAATATCATGTCTATAAAAAATCTAAGTCTACGTTTGGATTGAAGGATTTATTGATGAATTTGAAATCTATAGGTTTCAAATTTACAAGTTCAAATCCCCATGTATGTTGGGATGGTAATAGGGGTTGGGGGATTTCAAATACATACTAGATAATTTTTAGTCATTATTTTGAAAGATTTTAAATGACTCGTCAAACCTAGTCATTTGAAATCCACTATTTATAACCGTTGACGACCGCACCGTCCGCGATCATTTAGGTTCGTCACCACCGCGAGCTAGACAATGGAATTATAATCATTTCAACAAATTCATGCAAGAAGTGTGCAAGTAAATAAATTATATTTAAAAAATTTTAAAATCAAGGAATTTCAAATTCCCCAAAAAAACGTAACCTAGGTGAACAAAATTAATACTATAGTTTATATAGTAAAAATATGTATTTTTACTCAAATATTATGCGAATTCCACTCATCAAGCTATTATGGATAACAATGTGTCAAGGTAATAATAGATGTATTCTATCTAGCTAGTACATGATCTGATAATTTATTTTTTATCATTTTAATAACCTATATTCTTGTATGAGACGAGAAGACGTAACTGTTAGACGTATTGATTGCTATGAAATATTATGTTTGTTTTAGAGTATAACATTTCGGTTTTATTGTTTTAATAATATGTTATTAATCTTTGCATCTTGTGATATCAACATTAGACTAATTTACAATTGATCAATGGTCAAAATAAAACGATTGAGTAGGCCCAAGGTAATCTTTTGGAAGTGTTGTAATGCCCCCATGAATAAGGGAGAACAAGTCTCATGAGATAACCAATTCAAACCTTGACATTTATTTATTTGAAATTTTTTTTCCCGGTCAAATAATTTTTCTCTATATACACACATTTGTACCAAGCAAATTATAAACCATTTAACTCTCACTTCCATAATTAATTGGTTCTTTCAATAACAAAATTTCTACATTCAAATTCTTTAAAAAAAAAAAAAAATCACTCAGAAAATATTATGGCAATCTTAAGATCATCAGCATTACTTCTTCATTTATTCATTTTTGCAAATTATAGCTTCTGACAAAGAAAAAATCAAGTTTTGTTCAATTAATCATGATTAATAATTCGTTGTGTTTCTGATTGATGTGTTGTTTTTTAACGAAGTGATTTAGACGAGTTTTAAGGAAAGTGCATGCGAGATCGACACAAATGCGATGTATGAACTGTAATGCGAGTAGACCGCCAAGAAAATATTTGGACGTAAAAATCACCATGTTATTTGCTGAAAATAGTTTTTGAAGAAATTCAAATCTATATATATATATAATTGTAGGCTATCCAATTAATGCGGATAGCCTACTTTTTCCGCCTAAACCAATTTTGGACTGAATATGGTAAGTTTTTTTTTACTTAATACAAAAGTAACGTTTTTCTTTATACTTTTATGGTGACATTGTTAGACCAATAACACGGCATTATTTAATTTGTTAAAAAAAATATTTTTTTTAAATAAATGTACAAACATTATAACATTTTTCTTATTGTTGAAAAACATAGATTTACAGTTTAACTATTATGTATCAGTTTTCTTTTATTTTCCTTTTATTTTCCGTAACATATATAATAATAATAATGATAATGATAATAATAGTAAGTTTCTCAACAAATAACATTAAATTTATATATCATGCTAAAAAATTTAATAAATCACGAAATCTTCCATATAATATTACATCCTACAGTATTCTGATCAATATTTCCTGCAAATAATGACATATATTAGTAATGAGATATTATTACAAACAATTATTTTCAATAACAAAATAATATGACAACCGATTATGATATATAATTTTACTTACAGTTACACATAAGATGATAATGCAAATTTATTTCTCACTTTGATTTTCCATATTTTAATAATAATCCTCATACTCATAAAATCAACAGCTTATATCAATATCATATCTATTTTTTTTTCAGTTGCACATTATTTGATAATTCAATATTAATGAATATGATTATTCTTTCTGCAATACGTTTTCATTCGCCCAAAGTAATGCTAATTGATGTCGGCCTATTTTTAAATTAGTTTATTTTTTATTTTAATTATACTCCGATTGTATTATCTCGCTTTGAAAACATTCAGCAGGACAAATGAAAATAAAATCAAATTTATCAAATGCAAAAAAATCAATCCTCAATCTTGATTATTGAGCATTTATATTATATAATTAATGAAATATTTAGAGATGCTTATAAATAAATTAAAAAATAAGAGACAAAACCACATTGCAATTACAATTCTCATAGCCCCAGCACATTAAAAAGAAATTCATCCCAAATTTCGTCCCATTTGAAATGGCATTCCACTTCGATATTTTATTCTTTTGGCAAAAAGCAAGAACAAGACAACAAATTGAAGTTAGTTCGCAATTGTTTCAAGAATATGATCCATGGATTGAAGTACATCTATATACATATAATTGCTGCCAATATTCAAAAAAAATTATTCACCAAACAATTAATAATAATGAGTTCATTTAATAAAAATACGTGTTCATTTAATAAAAAAAATGTTTACCATTTAATAAAAATATGTAACTTTCAGTTACACTATTTATTTGACAATTCCCATTTTGGAATGTGTCCATTTGTGTAACACCTTTTTATATCCTGAAATACAAAATATTTTTGTTTTTATTTTGATACTATATATCTTTTGGTATTATATAAAGACATATGTCACAATTAATTAAGAATGACTACAAATATCTTTATTTTCTATTACAGTCATACAATAATAAAAAAATATTTTTTCGGATATTACAAAAATATATCAAATATTTTAAAAAATCAAATCCCAGAGTCACGAGTCGAAAAGGTTTAATGATAATAATTTGTGGTGATGAAATTCTGACGACAGGAAAACCACGAATGTTCTATATAAAGAAGTGTTTAATAATATTTATATTCACTTTTTTTAAATTAATTTTTTTCTAATTTATTAAATTATGATTTTTGTTTTATTCTATATTTTTAATTATTTCTCTTTTATTATATCTATTTTCATGCAAATGCACGGGGTAAAACTAGTAGATTTGAAATTGAAAATGGACGCGACTCAATGGATTAAATTGAAAGAACATATTGACAAATCAATATCCAAAAAATTTATCTAATTGGGGAAATAATCAATGTTAGCAAGCTTGACTGCAAACATGACGAGTCAATAAAATTCTGTGACAGAGTTGCATATGAATTACTTTTCTTCATTCAACAATTGGATTTCCTTTTCATATATCACTAGAGAAATGACTGATGTAATACAATTACAATTCAGCAGTTTTATATGGTATTGCCGTATCAAATAATAACTAATTATTATTATTATTATTATTATTATTATTAAGTGATACAGCAATATTATACAAAAAAATAAAATAAATGATAATTAAAAGAAATATGCTACATGAGTATGGGCACATTGTACAGCTCCTTGTGTTTCCATATTTTTCCATATTCAAAACCCTTTTGATTACTCATTCAGGAGACTGTATCAATCGGATAGCATCCGAGGACTCGAAGGAACCGAGCAAACTCCTGTCCGAAATCAACAGACAACACTATGAAACTCGCAATCATAACAAAGATTGCTTCGATTTTTTTTTTTTCTTTTTCATTCTTTTAACGAAATCGGTTTCAGTTTGAAATGTAAGTAGCAGCAAACCAGGAAAAGAAGATATGCTTACCTGAAGATGTCCGAGTGCGAATTGGGCACGAGGCTCGGCCATAGAAGCTTCGAAATCGATGTAAAAAAGGTAATCAAAATACCTGCATGTCGAAAAAAAGGCGATCCGTATTTTTATATTACTATACTATACAATCCCCAACTTCAGCTAAGAAGAGATTTCTATTTGTCAAGAAAGTAAGGGTTTGTTTGTTTATACGTTATTTCAAATCATACTCAATTTATACTCAAAATCTAACTCAGTTTTTAACTCAACCCCACTATCATCAATATAATTAAATAAAGCAACCAATCATTCTTACAATCACATCAACTTTAATTCAGTATTCATCCACTCACATAATTTTAACTAACTATCTTCATATCATCTCTCTTATGATTTTACATCAAATCAACTTTAATTATTTTATTTTAAACATTATTTTAATATAAACTCAAAATCATACCACACTTTCAAAATTAACTCTGGTTAAAAAAAAAAAATCATTTTGAGCGGATATATCTGTATCCAAGCACGCCCTAAATATGTTAAACGGGAATATAAAGACGAGCTCACGTTGGACTCGCCCTGTTAGAGTCATCAACAACTCTCAACGGCCGCAATTTCTGTGGTCGACTCTCAATCTGTGTACAGTACATTTTTTTTAAGAGTAACAACACGAA